GAGGGGAGGGGAAGTGGGGCCATGGTACTAACTTCTCCAGGAACTGCTTTGATCGAGCTAGACTACAAGCTAGATAATGAAAAATTCGGAGTATTCGTAGTTATACAAACATGAAGACCAAAAGAATTACAAGGAGAGTAATTCTGGAAACCAAAACAATAAGGAATAGTAATAATACACAATAGGCTGCGTGTTTGCCTGTGGAATGAGCAAACTTCTCTTGCTACTTGTGGGGGACGAGATGCGGGTAGAGGTTCGATATATGTTCATGCATGAAGTCATGCCTTGTTAAGATTCCAGCGATTGGAGCCCTCTACAAATTCAAAAGAGCTACATTTTCAGGACATTATTGTAAAGTAGTAGAATGCAGAATAAGCTACCACAAAGCAAAAAGTGCATAACAAGAACACGAAAACCACGCCCCAACCCCCGAATGCATGGATCCACTTGTATGCAACTGTGATGTATTAGCACATGTAATATTGCAGATATAAGTTAATGCGTTCCAACTCATGCTATCGACATCTAAGAATTCTCACAACATATTCAATGGATTTCAAATTAAATACTTTTGATTGAGATGTCACTTGAAATACTTAGTATTAAAGTATCACTAATCATTGATGGTTTTGAAACCTTTACTCCCACCATAGTTTACTAAATGAAGTTCCAATCCGTCCAAATGGGCCAAGATGATCCTAGTTCCCAAGTTTCCACTAAAACTAGTGATGCAGATCATACACATTATGTACTAAATCAATGTACAAAAGGAGATCAGAAAAGAACATTTCGGGAAAAAATGGCAAAAGAAACAGGGGACAGAGGGGGCTGGAGAGAGAGGAAGGGGGGAGAAGGACTTACCCCAGTTTTCTTTGGGACAACACACAAGTGTCTGAGTCCAAGTTGTCGGAAAAGGATTGCAGCTTTGGCCAGAGACATGGTTTCCACTACTGTGTATGGGGATGTATTTGTTATAGGATGGAGATCAACATACATTTCCATCTCCTCCTGCGTGATGACGAGATCCTCAAACTTAAGCCCCTTCCCTGATCCTGGCTTAGCAAAATCAAACGCATGAAACCTCCTTAAAATACTGGAGCCGCTCAATACACGCTGTTTCATGAATTTCTTTCCATTGAGCAAGACAAGTAAATGAGACCTTAGAACGAGCCCACACAACTCTGGTGCCTCTGAGAAAGGTGGCTCATCAATCACAGGAAATCCATTATGCCTAGTATACTTCAAAGCATGCACGATGTTCCCCACCTTCTCTACACCTGAAAATGACAATAATGGCCCAGAACAAACATCTCCAGCGACCAAATGCCTCATAAATGGTTCAGCATGAGCTTCCAAGAAAGGCAAGCCTTTCATTTTCACAATTTGGTCATACACACCCTTGTTAAAACTATCGGCCACAGTTTTTGATATGAGAAGAACAAGCATCACCAATGGAAGCATTAATAGATTGTTTGTGAGCTCAAGGAGTATGACACAAATTGATACTGTCATTCTCATGGTACCACCAAGGAAAGAAGCAGCACCAAGTAGCGAAAACAGGCCAACATTAAGATTGGACAACGAACCCAAGGCTCTGCCAAAAATACGCCCATAGGAGGCTCCAGCAAGTATGACAGGAATGAAAAGTCCAGAAGGAATAGCAATTCCATAAGTGATAATGCCAAGGCAATATACCCCAGCAAAGAAGACAAGAAGTGAAGAGATGTGAAATTCGTTTGAATTATTTGAACTAAACAAATTGCGAATGGCATCATCATTGGTGTTCAGAAAGAGGGATGCGAGATCATTGTAATGCCCTGGTGGACACTGGAAATTCTTGTAGCTTCCAGAGCGACCTATAGTTGGGCATTTCTCCTCCAAGCCGGCAGGACAAGGGGTGCACCTTGCCAGCCATGGTAGGCCATAAGAGCAACAAGAAGTCAGGATAGAAACAGTCATGACAAGCAAGATCTTGAAAGCAGCACCTCTCCTGTAATTCACTGCCAAAAATTAGCCAAAGGAAAAGCAGAAATAAAGGGAAAACCAGGCAGAAAGAATATCATGATTATCATTTTTTATTCCAAGAATCAGCCAAAGAAAAAGGCAGGAGTACAACCACAATTTACGCACCAAGAAAATTCTACTTGTGGAAATAACAGCTCATGTAACTTACTGTAGAGATGGCATCACAAAATAAATAAATAAATAACCAACGAATACATATAGTATATCTTTTACAAGTACTAAATAACTTCGAAACGAAGAACATTGATCAAACATGTTTTGGTGGCAAAGAGTAAATGACCCATTTAAGATGAACTTTTCGAACTATGTACGCATGCTTAGGTGAAATATCCTGATGAAATACACTGTTAACCACAAAATCATTATGGATCAGTTACAGTTATCTACCTGGAAATCCAATCTGCAAAAGAAAGAAAAGAAAAATATAAAGTTGAAATCAAAAGAGAAGTGAGACATGCTTCAGGAAAACCTTGCATACTTCTTAAAATTGTTACTTCATCAGACTAGAACATGCACCTACCCCTCCACTGACTAACAACTGAGAGAGAACTAAACATATAGTGTTGGCAAGAGGGGTTTAGAAGACTAACTCATTAATGACGCTGTAAGTCCGGAGGACCTTGTCGACAAGATAGTTATAAAGGCTTCCCAAAAGGCCTCCAAGTACTCCAATTAAAATTATTGCCAATACATCTATTGTGTTGTAATTAGATACTCCTGAATTGACATCAAACATTATCAAACCTCCTTGCCCAAATAGTCCACATTTCCCACTGCGACAGAATTGTATGAGAGATCTGAGCACCATAGCAACGACAGCAGTTGTGAAGAAAGTCCTCCAAAGTAAAGCACTTCGCCACCTAAAACATCAAATAGAACGATCGAACATTTTGAGATATAAGCCTTCTTATGAATGCAAGCTAGTATCAATATGTGTGTGTGCAGCTTTGTGCGTGTGTGTGTGTGTGTGTGTGTGTGTGTGTGTGTGAGAGAGAGAGAGAGAGAGACCATGATGCTATTTCTTCAAGAGCAAAAAGGACTCCTCCAACTGGGGCACGGAAAGCAGCTGCGACACCAGCAGCAGCACCACAAGTGATCAAATCCCTACGATCACGGTCGTTTTTGAAGTATTTTAGCCAGTTCCAAGTTAAATGATACTTGCGGGAACCCCCTTGTCCAAGTAAGTTTGCTATGCAAGCACCAGTATGGACCATGGGTCCTTCCTTGCCAACAACAAATCCAGCAGCAACACCCAAAATGGAACCAAAAATCTGCCGAGTGCAAAATGTCAGAGTTAGTGTTTTCGAGAATGACTTTCAGAGAATGAGCCAATCAGCACTATAATAAAGCATGAAGTAGGGTAAATTACAACCCATTGAACAAGAAGAAACAAACAAACCACTAAAACAATCATTTAATGTGAATTATGGTGCTAACTGCTTCAGCTTGTAACTTATCATTTATAGTGGTAAATGATGTCTGTGAGGAGAATGCCAGATTGTTGATATACAGCAAAATAAAAGAAGATAAAGATACACCTCCAGAGTTCATTTTAACATGGCAGTCTGAGAAAACAAACCTAAGAACGAACAAGTGAAAGGGCAACAAGCAGGGATAACCATATCAAATGTACCTAATCAGAGGAATTTAAAGCGCGTCATATAATGCAAATCAATCATTTTTTGCCACATAGTTATTTTTGATAAACGAGAAATCCATGAGGGCCAGTAGCGCATTGTTCGAAGTCGATGGAGAATTCCCCCATATTCTTCTTCACTTAAATACCAAGTTTTGCCTGCGGTAGAGATTGAACCTATGATGTGTGCCTAACCACACATCACAAGATGCACTCTTACCCTAGACCAAAGCTTCGGGGTCTTTACTACACAATTTCATTTCTAATTTACTTCATTGATGTCCATAGTAAGGTAAAAAAGGATGAACTGGACTGCAGTGCACAAATATAAACATGGTTATCTGAGTGTTAATTCATATTCAGTTATCCTTAAATCAAATATTGTTATTTGAAATCTTTATTATTGTTGTTGTAAGTTCAATTCAGTATAAACTCAATAGCACTAGTAAGTAGTAATAACATGATAATTTGTTCTTTGGAAAAGAAGGAATATACCAGGATAAGCAATTTGAAAATGCTAATCAAGTTACATGAACAGTTGGAAAAATAGTATCAAGTGATACTTTTTACAAGCCAGATAATCATGCTTCTTAGAGATGTCCATGTGGCAAGTAACAAGAAATACACGAGAGGGAAAAAGACGGAGAAACCCACCTTGACAAGTAATGTACTTGGAGCCAATATGGAATGAGCATCGATACCATTTAGATATGCTTTTACTTCAGGTATCCCAGACCCTGCAGCTGCAGGTGCAATAAGTGCACAGAGGGCCGCAGCACAAGTTGCAAGAACCACATTGCAACCCGCAAAAGCAGCAAATGCCCGGAAATATCTGCTCTGAAAGTAAAATAACTTAATAACTTGAACAGAATGAGTCGCAGGCTTTTGTCATTTATGCATTCGTAGTTGGTATTTTGAAATCACAACTTATTTGATAAACTATAACTTGATTGAAGTTGTACTTACTTTCCTTCAAGCATTAAGTTGCTAGTTAGCAGTAGCTTGAAACCAGCAATATTTTCCACTCCTATGTTATTAAAGAAACCAACAAGGCCAGTACTTAATCCAATGAGAAGCACAAGAGTCCACTTGAGAAATATATATTGAAATATCTGGACCTTTTTCCTAGATCTCCAGTCTTGCTTGAAAAGGTCATTTTCTACAATCCTGCATAAAAATGACTAACAAGATCAAAATGGAACGTTGGATATATACTTCAAGTGAATATAGGACAGATAAAAGTTACCAGAAAAACATGTATTTTGGTTAACTGCAAGTTACTACAAAATGAAAAAATAAATCTTGGGTAATTATTAAATGATAGAGAGATTTCATTTGCGTTGAAAAGGTATTAGGACGCTGGCCAGGATCTCCAGCGTATAAACTCGTGAAGCAAGCGCGTTCAGGAATTCGTCGATAAAAGAAACAAATTGTACTCCAGGACCAAAACATAGGATTTGAGGGTCCAACCTCAGAAAGAAAACTTCTGTGTTCTGATCAGCATAAGTCATTAAGATTTCAACCCCAACTTAAGTTTGTAATTACCAACTATATATATAATACATAGACTACAAAATTTGAACATCAGAGATCTCTGATTTCTTTCACCATTCATATCTCTTACTATGGAAGTTCACTAGTTTTTCCTTTTAATAATATCACAGCAAAAGAATCTTTTTCCATCATCACACTAATTGCACAAGAAAAATCTCAAGCCCGAAGATGTTACCAGAAAGTTGACTAATGACTACCATCCTAAAAATAGTCAAACTATAATGAATCCCTTCAAGCAGAAAATTCATAGAGACAGACCCAGATATTTTAAAATAGAGGAACAGTAAATTGATTGATTCTGCAATAAACTAAAGAATAAAAGGAGCAAAAGAGCACAGAATAAGAGAAAAGTAAGTAATCATACTCGTAGTCGAGGCTTTCAATGGGGTAAACATTGGCTCCAACAATAGCGATTTGAGAGGTGTTGTTGACTCTGCTCTTGGAATTAAGCAAAGGCTCTCTTATCCCACTTTCTGAAATTGTCGAAAAATTTCTCTCCAATTCTATTTTCTCTTCCTCCACCATCCCTCCTTCATTCTCTATGTCAACTTGGTTCTCCATACGCCTCAATTTCAAATTAGTTTGAGATCGTACATACAACCAAGTATAACTCAATCTCAAACTAATTTAAGAGTTGGATCCAACTATATGAATAGTCTTTTCTTATCTAAAAGTTACTGTATGTATTATGAATAGTACGTGTATGCAGACAAACCCACATATAGGAAAATGGAAATGATCATTGAATCTTCTCAATCTGCTTCAATTATATATGGGGTGGGTGGTGGCCGGTGGGGGAGGTGAAAGAGAGAGAAGCGGGAGATCCGTGACAGATTATTATTTTATGTAACAATCTGTCAGGTATGGACAGGCCCAAACAGTTGTGGAAAAGATTAAACAAATGTGTGTGGGTTCTGAGTGGCGTTTGATATTTTTATTACATCAGGAGTTCTTTTCGGCGGCTACATCGGATTTCTATATTAAAAACCTACGAATTTAAACTCGAGTTCGATCAATATCTCGAAAAACATTACTACTACTAAAATTGTTTTTACAAACTGCTCTTAATTTTTTGGCTGATACATCTTTCAATATTTTCTAGGACAAACGACCCATTTTATATTTTTTGTGTTTTTTTTATCAATGCCAAGTGCCGCATTGGTCCTTGATTAATCTGAATTAAAAAAAGAGAAAATACTTCTGGTAACGACTCAATCAATCGTTTAGAGCTTTAGCATTCCGTTCGGTGGTTTGGGGCCTGAGTAGCTTCATATGATACATTATGACTTGCGTATATGGTTGGTTTTGATTTTCGAGGGGTTCAGAGTTGATTCGGAAGAGTGATTCTTAATTTGAAAGCTTTAAGTTGGAAGACTTGACGAAGGTTTAACTTTTGAGTAGATGGCCTCGGATTTGTGATTTGATGGTTCCTATATGTTCGTATGATGATGACTCTTTGATCTATCGGTTGACTCTGTCTTTGGACTTAGGCGTATGTCCGAGTTTGAATTTGGAGGTTCCAAGGAGATTTTGGCCATATTTGCCGAAAGTTGGCAATTTAAAAAATTAGAGAATTGGTAGGTTTGACCAATAGTTGACTTTGATGATACTGGGATCAGATTGGTGTTTCGAAACTTTAAATAGGTTCTTTTAGTTGATTTTGACTTGTGTGCAAATTTGATTGAAATCTAGAATGTTTAGGCATGATTCAGACGTGCTTGGTGAAGTTAGAAAGTTTGAAAGTTAAGAGATGAATTTTGACATCGATTCTTGATTTTGATGTTAATTGTGGTGTTTTGAGCACTTGGATAAGTTTATATGACGTATTTAAACTTGTTGGCATAGTTGTATAGGGTCGGGGGCTCGGGTGCTATTGAGTTGATTTTAGACCATTTGAAAGTGGTTTGGCAGATCTAGTACTGGTGTGTTGCCCCTGCAATGGTTTTTGCGCAGGTGAGAGGTCGTAGAAGTGATGGGTTGGTCGCACCTGCGCCTTCGTGGAAGTAGTCGTTCTTGAACAGATGCGAGGTTGGGCTGGCTGAGGAGGTAAAGCAGACGTGTGTATCTTGCCGCACCTCAAAGCAGCAGATGCGGTAGTTTCTCCCAAATGCGATGGAGGGCTATATTAGTGATGATTGTAGATGCGATCGTTGTGTCTCAAAAGCAATATCGAGAAGCGACTCTTTTGTTCGCAGATGCAAGACCACTAGCTAACTTTATAATTTCGAGGGTTTGGCTCATTTTTCTCAATTTTGAGTTTTGGAACTCAGGTAGAGGCAATTTTAGAAAGGATTTTCACTATAATTTTGAAGGTAAGTGATTTCTACTTGATTTTGATAATACATCTTATTTTCCCATGGATTTATACACTTATATTATGGAATTTGAAAGAGACATTTTGGGAATTTTGTCTACAGTCTTGGAGAGTGTAAATTTCGGATATGAAATTGATTTGGACGTGGTTTTAGATTCTAATCAGATATTTGGACTCGTGAGGCTATGGGTAGACGGGATCTACCTCTTGACTCGGATTTTGGCCATGCAGGACCGAAGTTAACTTTTGGAGATTTGATTAAAGATTGAAGCTTTATTGCTTAAAATTGTTTCCTATGGCTTTATTTGACATTGAGTTGTATTTGACTATATTCGAGTCATTTGATGTTGAATTTGAATAGCAAGGCGATTGTTGAATGATTAGAGCTTGCAGGGTAGAGGTAAGTCTCTTGTTTGTCGTTGTAGGAGGGAATTCTCCCCATAGGTGATTTATTTTCTACTTGTTGCTAAATTTAGAAGCCACGTATATGTGGGGTAGTGAGTGTGTATGTGTAGCTTGGTTATGATCATATCCAGTAAATGTTTGGCTTATGATTATGCCTTGAATGGATTAAACTTATTACTCATGTTTCATTGATTCTATGACTACATGATGCCTCATAATTGTGGTTTAGAAGCATGTTCAGGGTTAGGACCTGTTGAATTGAGAATAAATAATTGGGTTATCATATTGAGTTTTTGTGTCGAGTCGTTGTCAAATGCTTGTCCTATTGATTCATGATTTGGTGGTTAAATGACTTATTTCATTTTTGTTTAATTTTATGGTAAGACTTTAGAATGATAAAATTGCTTATGGAATTGTTGAGATGTCGTGAGTTACATGATTAGCCATTGTCATCTTTTAGCCATATGTGCTTTTATTCGCATTTCTATTATTATGATCCGGTGCTTTTAATTATATTGCCTCATATGTATATTTATAAGGTGGAGAGTAAAATATTGTGAAAAGATGAGAATTTTGGCATGCGAACCTTATGAGCGGATATTGATTATTGATGATGTTATATGAATCAGATTGCATGCCATAACGATATTTTATGTGGATCGAGTTGTACACCACAACAATATTATATGTAGATCGAGTTGCATGATGCAATGATATTATATGTGGATTGGGTCACACGCTGCAATGGTTGTACATATGGACAGGGTTGCACGCCACAACGGGCGCTTAGATTTGGTACCATCCCTCTAAAGTGAGGTGATTTCTCATGTTACTTTGGGCCCTGTGAGCTCATGCACTCAGATTGGTGCTAGTTTGGATACTTGATCAGTGTTTGATATATGAAATCAGTGAGATCTGGTATTGTATTGTGAGCATGGAAGTCTCGACTCGTGGAATGGCATATATAATATATATATATATATATATAATTGACTGAGTCCTATTGTGAGTGTGAAAGATTGAGATAACTGATATTCTGTTATCCCCCTTGTTTGTGCATGCATTGATAGCTTAGACTCATGTAGCGGCTCTTATACTATATGTGAACGTTGATTGCCTCGTATCATGATTATACAATGAACTAAGATAATTGATGTTGAATTCTATCTCCTTGTCTAAAAAGTATGTCTAAATTTCAAATTTTATAATATTTCTATTGACAGACCCGATTGATAATATCATGCTTTATTCCTTGCTCTATTTATGCTTCATATTCTTGTTGAGATGTTAGTAAGTGTCGGTGTTGACCCTGTATCACTATTTCTTCGAGGTTAGACTTGATACTTACTAAGTATCATGGTTTTGTACTCATACTACACTTTTGCATCTGTTGTGCATGTTCTGAGAATGGTAGTTTTGGTACCCTTTGAGCTGAGTATGAGTGTGTTATTGGAGACTTCGTGATGAGCTGCTTGATTCGATATGCAGCACATGAAGTCCCCATTCCCTACTTATATATTTATGTCTATGTACTTCCTTTTCGAACAGGTGTATTAGTTCAGTTGATTCTAGTTGCTCTTATTAGATGCTCGTGATATAGTGACACTTGGTTTTGGGCGTTATTAGACATTTGTGGTCGTGTTTAGACTTTGTCATTGATTATGCCTTTATGAGATTAATTTGAGATTATTTTGCATTGTTAGTTATATCATGAAATAGTTAATGACTTAATAATTAGATTATATTATTGTCGATTGAGTGTTGGCTTGCCTAGCAAGCTGGTTAGGCGCCATTACGACTTTTAGTGGGACTTTGGGTCGTGATAAGTTGGTATCAGAGCTCTAGGTTCTAAGGTTCTCACTAATCATGAACGAGCATAGTAGAGTCTTGTGGATCGATATAGAGACGTCAGTATCTATCTGCGAGAGGTTATAGAGGTTTAGGAACTTTCCATTTCTTGATTCTTTATTATGCGATTTTGTTTCGACTTAAAGCTTATTGTTTACCTTGAAAATGGTATTAACAATTATAGTTTATTTGTGATTCTACAAATACGTGATTTATCTTAATACTAGTTATTATGTGAATAATGCTAGGTGTAAATGAGCGAGAAATGATAAGCAAACTAGTGTAGTCACAAGATTGAGGGCCTCGAGCTCAGTGATATAGAACCTCGAGGGCAGCCTTTAAAGGTTGATAAATGAACAACAAATGAAGAACAGTAAATGAACAATGAATGAACAATAGATGAACAATAAATGAACAAGGAATGAATTTGTAGAGTAATTATTGAGCATGTTTTAGGCAAGGAAAGCAGAGAATGTTCTATTGTATTCAATATTCATGTGTGTTACAAAATAACAAGGGTCCTTTTATATAGGAGGGAGGAATCCCAACATAGTACATGTTTAATAATGACGAGAAAATGCTATTGATACAGCTGTATAATGACCTAGTACGAATTAGTACTATTCTAGCAGACCTGGTCAACTCTAACCACGTCTACTTGGGAGCTTTCCCGCCTTTCCATGACGATCATCGATTGGTACTGCTCCAAGATCGGCCATAGTAAACCTTTGATGTGCTCCCTCGAGGGACGCACCTCGAGGTCACACTTCACATTCTACTTCGAGCTTCTCGGGGTTGGGCATGGAGTGCCACAGTAGCCCCAAGGTCGAACTCCCCAATTTTGATCATATACAGATAGTCCCCGCGTTTCTTAGAATGAAATGATAAGAAACGATCTTGAGTTCTTACCTCTTCGATACCCCCATTGTGACATCAGCCACATGAGATCATTAAATGGTGTGATAGAAAAGTTGTATAGAGGTCTTGTCAAACGCGGTTCTCGAAAAGCCCACGAACCACTATTGGTTGCCCTTTCAACTCCTCCAGTATACTTAGATGACTATTATAAATACTCAAATTCCCTATCTTTTAAACCTTTACAACGTCTTCAAATATTCAAATCTTTGTTAACAGTTTCATGTTTTCATCCTTCTTCCGTGTTCACTTCTTTGTCAGCTTACTTTGAAACTTTGTTGTAACCATGGCCAAAACTTCTAAGACAGTACCTCAAAAAGAGGAAGCCCCTTCTTCGTCACGCTCGACTAAGAGCAAAAAGATAGTGCCTCCTCGTATTGAGGAGTGTATTCATGGGCCCTTCGA